TTCTTTCCAATTTTGAAATTTAATATCATATGAACGATGGTATATAAAATAAAATTGCATACTGTAGTGATTTGGAGGATTATTTCCAGGACTGTTATATTTGTCAGAATTGAGGCCATCTATCAATACTTTCTTTGAAGATTTCTAAAGGAAGAAAATTGAGGCCATGGAGCTTTCCATTATGCAGTAAGAATATGTATGATCTGACTTGAGTTTCAGAGGTGATGTAATGATCTGCCTGTAATTTAGCAGATAAAATTTTCTTTGGCAAGTAGCTGTAAGTTTAAATTTATTTTTGAAAAACAAAACCCATGTTTCTTTAGGAATAGATGCATCAGGAATTAAGCTAAAATTTGTGGTCCCTTTAGCTATAATCTGCCTAAAACATCTTTTATCTTTATTTTTCCCTGTAGTCCCAGTTTCTCCCATAGTCTTATTTAATACTCTTTCTGCTTTCTATGTTTTCTAGAATTTAATTTGATCTTCTTGATTTGTTGGAAACTGACCTAATCACTTTTAGAGTTATATTCCTTCCAGGTTTCTGTAAAGGAGTCTTTAGCCTTAGAGCAGTCCTCATCAAAACATGGTTTGTGCCACCAACACCTATTCCCTACTAAGACACTCTCTTTCATGAATATTTTTTGGCTGCTTCATATTGAGTAATTGTTTCTTTGGATTTTTTTTTAATTTGAGAATGTAAGATGCATGGCCTGAAGAGCAACATTGTTTTTTCTCAACTATTTATTCCATTTGATTCTCTTCTTATTGATTACTTTGAAACTGGGAGCTATAATATATATATGTATAATTTGTAAGGAAGATTCTTCATAAAATTCTAATGGAATTTTTAGGGAGAGAGAAAAATGGTCACTCTCCATATGTGGCAGAATTTCAGATTATTTATACTTATACTGTATATGTGATTCTATCAGTATACAGTGTATGACGCTTGCTCCGTTAGCTGTAATAAAGATGAATGCCCCAGGTACATAATTTCCAGTTCATCCATTAAGCATTCTAAAATTCTCTTCTGTAATACATTTCAAAAAGCATTGTCCTCTTTAATTTAGTGTCTTGTCACATAAGATGGCTGAGGGGGAGCTCCAATATGTAATTTATTACATCTTCATTGCCATGTATATTGATGCCACCAGTTCTAGCATTAAAATCACTTGCTATCATTATTTCTAACTCTGGACATTTATTTTGGATCATCTCCAGAGCATTATGTAGCACTTTTCATTTCAAGACTGCATCCATTCCTGATGTAAATGGTGGAAAATAAACATTTGTAAGAATTAAGGGGGGCCTTCTATGGCATTTAGTAAGTATCACTTAAAAAATAGTTAGATTCTAATTTGGTTTCTAATCCTTCAGTCAGACTCCTTCATGGGATAAGAGTAACCAAACCTCCCTGCAACTGCCCTTGTCAGCTATATTCTCTGATAACCCAGGCTTTGTAATAGCTAAGTGGCTGTGACACAGTATCAAGACAAAGAAGATTTTCTTATGGCTGGGAGAGAAATGTATACTAATTATTTGGAGACAAAGAGAAGGCTGTCTGTGGAGTGAGATCAGTCTTTTTGAAGGCTGCATCTGATTGGCATAAACTAGAGCAGAATGCAGGCACCCTAATTTTTAATACAATGGTGTGACCTGTGGAAGCCACACATACATGCAAGTAATAAAGTTTGTTACATGCAGATGGATCACCAAAATACCCAACACCTCCCTGCTTAATACAGATGAAGGCAGCTGTCAGTTGCATTATAAGACTCTCCAGGCTGCAGTGCAACCATCCAGCAGATAGACTCTGATTTTAATTTAGAAAGGAATGATTTCTTTTCATATCCAGACACTTTTCATTTTAGTTTAAGGAAATAAAGTTATAAGCATATCCAGTTTCACAAAGATCTATTTTTCTCCTCACATCTGCTTCCAACAACTGGAGTGTTAGAATTTCAGTACAAAGGAATGCAAGGAAAATATCTTTTTTCTTTCTTTCTCTACGTTGTGAGATTTTCATATTTAAACTTGGCATGAGAAGTGTTTGGATAACAATCCACAGCTACACCATGCAAAATGTCCTGTAAAAATGCTTGCATAGTGGGGCCTTTACTTTCACTGGGGCCTGACTACCACAGTAGATTAAACTGGTAATAAATTTAAACCTGAGCTGATAAGAGACCTCTTGGGAAGTGATTAGTTTCACCATTCTTCCCTAGAATATGACTGTTGTAACAACTGTGATCTTGCTGTCTTTTCACAGAAGGTTTGATAAATAGGAAGAGTTAGGAACTATTTATCTTCATTGCCAATAATCTCACTGAACTCAGTGATTCAAGAAGAGGAGCGTGCTTCAGCATGAATAGCAGAGTCTGGCACACAGATTGGTGCTTCATTACCTGCTCCATTAGGACAGCCTGTTTTTTCTTTTTCTTTGCTCTGTAAGTATCCACTTGAGTGTATCTACTGTTCCCTATTTAAAACAACCTTACAGCATACCCCCAGATTACTTAGCATCCTGACTAATTCCACACTTGGAAATTGAGTGTCCTGGGACTGCTGCTGTCTCCAACAATTTTTCCTTCCACCTGGGCACAGGTATGTAAAAGACAGGTGACAGAAGTAGGAGCTGCAAACACAGAAAAGTGCAAGCAAGGGTTTGTGTAACTAAATGGATTTTTATAGTTGGCTGTTATTGTGCAGTTTTGACTGGGAGATCTGCAAAGGGTTGTCTTCTGTCTTCGGCACAGACAGTGAATGCTCCTGAGCCACAATGCCCTCGAGGGGTAAGCCAGCTGTTCAAGCAAACAGAAAGGCAGCACAAAAACGTGATGTTCCCCAATAAAGGAAAGTCGAAGTCGGACACTCAAGACAGAAATGTTATGTACAGCTGTAGGCAGGACAACAGGCTCTCCAATGCTCCAGCAATGGGTACGGGGTGATCTCTCGCCAGTCCGCTCTCCTTGCATTTGAGGGGGAATCTAGGAGATGCCGTGAGACCGGGGGTCAGACAGCCATGTCCACAAAGGCCGGGACGGGAGTGTCAGGACATCTGGTGTCCACACGAGGGCAAAATATGACAGCCGCCTCCCGCCTCAGCGCGAGGAGCCGCGAGCAGCAGCAGCAGTCACTGGAGGCGGAAACCTTGGAGCGGGACCTTCTCCGGAGCCCGCCGCGCTCGCCCCGCGCTGGGTAAGGGACACGGGATCTCGCCAGGGGAGGCGGGAGCGAGCCCGTGTCACGCCCCAGTGACAGTGTCACACTTTCCCGAGCGCTGCTGGACGCGCGGCGCGGGGCGGGGCGGAGCGGAGCTCCCCGCGGAGGCCGGCATGGGGAGGGGACACATCCGCATGCGGCCATGTCTGCTCTTTCTCGATCTTAACCGGCGCACCAACACCCACGCGAGCCGCCCGAAGCTCGGCAGTGCCTCAAAGCCCCGCGGCGGTCGGAGCGCTCTAGGCCGCCCCGCCCGGCCGGGCCCAGCAGCTTGGCGTTATCAAATCCCACCATTTGTGTCCCCATGTCAGTCTTTATGAGGGCTTTCTGCACATCGGGGGCGGGGGCTTGCGCGAGGGCAGAAGCAAAGGCCGCAGCAGGAAGGCTTCGTCCTCACGCGCCTCGGAACCCTCCGCCCGGAAGCAAAATGGCGGCAGCCCGGTTCTTGGAGTCCTCTGCCCTTACCCAACATGGCGGCGGCGCGCGGATTCCCTCTCCCCGGCCAGGGTCGTGGCTCCCGGTTGTGCGCACGCGTGGTGCCACGGCCCTCATTGTTGTGGGGCAGCGCGCGGCCGGCGGGGTAGGGTTGCGCGTTCGCTGACGTCAGCAGTGTGCGCCGCAGCCTCTCAGTCCCGCGAGACGCCTGCGCGCTGCGGATCGCTGTGCGCGCCGGGGGAGGATGGCCTCGGCATGGCTCTCGTGAGCCCCTGCCCGACCCGGCTCAGGTACGGTGCTGCCGCCGGGCGCGGGGCGCAGCGAAACGCCAGCCGGCCCCCTTGGTGGGCGGCGGCTCGCGCCGTAGGCCTCGGCCCCG